GGGGTTTCTCTGTATTATTGTAGGGTCTCTGAGGTGCTGCTGTTGTGTTGCTGTCATAATAAAGTTTGCAGAACCTTTAAAAATACCAAACTGTTTATTTTATCTCATCAAGTATCAATGATTTAAACTTTCTGTGCAGGAATGTAGCACGAGCACAAAGACAGCAGTGACCAACCTCACTGCAAGTTTCAGTCTGTGGAGAACCATCAGAGGGTTCAATGAGACCCTGTTTAGAACCAGGACCACACATTTGACGCCACTGCTTAGGACTGGGCGATATATGGAGTTTTTAAATATATTGATATATTTTTATACAAGATATGAGATGTGACAATATCGTTAGTCTATGTTACGTTATAATTATACTTGTGGAGCCGCAAGTTTGCCTCTCTTTCGTCCACTTTTGTCTCCAGGCTGCGTTACTCTGCCTCGCCCATTGCTTCACCTGCAGGCAACAAGATGAACTCGGCAGCTATCAAAGAGGAGCTGCTCGGTAAAAAGAAAACATTTGGAGATTACTGTTTTAGTGCTGGTAGCGGTAATCTCGTTAAAAATCACGTTAACGCCATAACTGCATTAACAGAGCAAATCTCCGTTAATGAGTTACCGCGGATCGCCCCGTGCCTGTGGCTGGACGGCGTTAACGAGCTAACCGGGCTAACAAGCTAACCGGGCTAACGAGTTAACCGGGCTAACGAGCTAACCGAGCTAACCGGGCTAACGAGCTAACCGGGCTAACGAGCTAACCGGGCTAACGCGTTGACGCCTAAAATCCTTTGATTTTCTCAAAAATCGACAGTGTGCTGTATGTATGAATTCTGGTTGTGTTTACTGACCTTGAACCACTTTTTTGTGCTGCACGGCGCTCAGCAATCTGTCAACAAATGTTTTAGTTCGACTTTGCTAAGCTAAGAAGCTGCACCGCTTGATGGATTGTTGGAGCATTACAGCTACTGAGGACCCTCGCGGAGTGATACTACTCTGCTTCAACGTAATATTACCATACTGCAGACCTTCCCAAAGTGTGGGGCCCGCCCCCTAGAGGGGCCCAGAGCCATTGCAGGGGGGGGGCACAGCATGAAAAGGGAATAAAACAAAAACATGGAGGGACAGTAGCTGCGTGTTTATATGTAAGCATGTAAAACCTGAAGATAGAGATAAAATACTGTTAATCTGACTATCTGCTATTCTGCAATTCCTCTCATGTAAACAATAACGTGCACACAGCGTGACGTGAAAAAAGGCACACACCTTTGACGTTGCGTGACGAACTCTGTATTCCTCATCCACACA